CCCACAGACTGTGAGATCATGACCTGAGCTGAAGTAGGACACTTAACTGACTGAGCCACCCAGGCGCCCCCAAAATGTGAATTTTTAAATAACTATCCACTGTACATACATACCATTATCTATTTAGGTATTAAGTTATTTTCAATTTGACAATTATAAATACTATTGTAAGCATCTGTGCATGTATACTAACAAAGGTTAATGATAAAAATAATGTACCTAGATTGAAGAGGAAGCTACTCAGAGTAGTTAAAAGCATGGCCTCTGGAGCCAAAAACTAAGCTCTGAGTTCAAATCCAGGCCCTATTACTATCTATGCGACCCTCTGGCAAGTTACTTACCCTAACAAAATGGGGATATCGAGAGTCTACCTCTCACAGAGCTGTTATGTATATTATGAGTTAACATATGTAAAACACATAGAACAGTCTCTGGCATATAGGAAGAACTTAATGTTAGTTATCTCATTTGGATGGTAGAACGTCCTCCTTCAGAGAAACGAAAATATATGCATATGAATTTTCCACCACAAGGCGTGGTGGAATTCAGTGATTTTAATGGAGAGAAACAGATGATAAGTGTCTTGTGAAATCCTCTCAACAGTCAGACACAGAGCTAAAAATTAAGATGGGTCCTCAGCCCAAATGTCTTCCTTTCAGAATATATTATACTCGAGGCAAGGCAAAAGGAAACAAAACAAAAACTGTTGAATGAAGGGGTTGGCTCTCCTGAAGTGGGGGTAGAGGTTATAAAATCTAAAATCTTTTACTCCGAAATGGACACTAACACTAACCAATATAGAATGGATGAGATCAGACATAAGCAGCAATATTTACCCCAGGCTTCAATTGCGAATGTACTGTTTATGAGACTAGAATTCTTCCTTGATTCAACAAAATTCAAGAAATCTACTGAGCAGCACAGTGTGCTAGGCACCATGCTAAACCCTGGGAATATAAAGATGCCCAGTTCCTGCCCCAAGAAACTCGCAATCCAAGAGTCTGCCAGGTGAACAAAAGGAGCAAAGAAATTCTGGCCAGAACAAACAGTATGTGCAAAGGCCAAAGAGTAAGAGAGCATTCAGCTGAGAAGTGGTCCAGAAAGTTGCAGGCAGTGGATGCAGGAGTCTAACGTTCAGGGGTGTAGTCTGGGCAAGGGGTACAGATCAAGGTCACGACCATAAAGACAGTAGCGGAAGCCCTAGATATAGAAGAAATAATCTAGAACAGCAGTTTGCAAAACATAGTCCCCAGTCCCCAAAACCTTTGAGGGCCTGGTCTATGAA